GCCTTGCCTCCCCCCCCCCCAAAAAAAAAAGTCTTAGGAAGTTAATGAAACAAGATTCAGAAAGCTGTAACACCCACACCCATACCCACCCACAAAATCTCCAACACAAGGTAACTAAGAGTCCTGTTTTTTTTTTTGGGTGTGTGTGTGTGTGTGTGTGTGTGTGTGTGTGTGTGTGTGTGTTTAAAAGATATTTGTTTATTTTTGTTTTTCGAGACCAGGTTTCTCTGTGTAACAGCCCTGGCTGCCCTGAACTCAGGCTGGCCTCAAACTCACAGAGATTTGCCTGTCTCAGCCTCCTGAGTGCTGGGATTAAAGGTGTGCATCACCAACCACCCTGCTAAGATCTTTACTATTTATGTATGAATGAGTGTAAATTCATGCATGTGTGCCAATACTTGTGGGAGCCAGAAGAGGCATTAGATCCTTTGGAGCTGCGGTCATAGGTTTTGTGAGCCACCTCCCCTGGGTGCTAGGATCCAAACTCTGATCTTTGTGATAGAACAAGCGCTCTTAATCTCTGAGCCAGCACTCCAGTCCCCTTGGCTTTTAAAGACATGTATGAATTTATTTTGCATATGGGTGGGTCTGTGGGCAGGCTTGTGCCACAGTGTTCTTGTGAGAGTCAGAAGACAACTTTCAGGAGTTGATCCCTCTTTCTACTATACTGGTTCCAGAGACTGAACTCGGGTCAAGGATCGGCAGCAAGTACCTTTACCCACTGCGCCGCCATCTTGGCAGCTCCAGGGAGTCCTCTTTTATAGAAAGGGAATGTGAAGATCAACCAAGCTAAAGATCTGCCCTAGGTCACATGACGAGCAACTTATTTCAACTAGATGTGCTTGCTTCCAAGTCCCTAAAATGTTATTTATTTTTTATGGTGCTGGGACTCATAACTTGTAGGCTGCTGAGCCACACCCCCAGACCAAAACACTACTTTAAAAAATATTTTACTTATGATGATGATGATAATGTGTGTAGGTGAATGAGTGTGCAGTTGCAAGTGAAGGCCAGAGGTTAACCTCCCACATCACTACTCAAGAGCCATTCACCTGGGACCTGGTGATCACAATTAGGCTGGGCCAGTGAGTTCCCGCGATCCTCCCGTCTCCACCTCCCTGCGCTGTATAACAAAAAAATCACCACCATGCCGTGCTTTTTTGGGGTGAGGTGGGGCGGGGGGGGGGGGGGGGGAGCTCGAACCTAGGTCTTCATACTCGCCCAGCAAGCCTTTAGCAGCTGAACTAATCCCCCAAACCTAAAGCATCACTTCTTTTCCTCCTTGCTTCCTATTCCTCCTCTCTTTTTTAGGAGTCTGCATATTGGGTAGTCAACGCTGGCCTCGAGCTATCTCCATATTGTGTATTCAGTGCTGAACTTGAGCTCACCTTCCAACGGTGGCATTACAGGCCTGGGGTACCACATCCAGATTAAAACACAGCCTTGGATCACTGAAGAGGCCCCATGCTGACTGCCTGAGAAACATGTGAGAAGCGTGAGACTTAGCCTAAAGGACACGATGTCCTGGCACCAGGTTTGGGGACACTTCCTCTTCCAGCCCGCGGCACAGGACCGTGGGAGTCTGGGCCTCCCAGGGGCGAGCCCTGCAAACCCACGATAACGTTGCGAACACCACCACGCGGCCGCCAAGGACGCACGTGGGACCGCATTCCCGGGAGGGCGGCTCTGACTCGCCTTTGTCACGTGGCTTCCACGGGCCAATCGGCGGCCGCCCGGGCCAAGGCCGTGTTGTTGGCACGTAATGAGGAGCCTTGGAGAAAAGTGAGTTTTGCAAGCTGGGCGGAGCGGGAAAAGACGGCCAATTCTTGTCCTATCCAGTATGCTCCAGATCCAGCTGTTGCTCGGTGTCCATCTATCAGGATTTGCAACGCTCCGACGTCAGCGCTCAGACAGGAGGGGCGGGACTGGGATGTCCGTCCAAGCATCCTCTTCGCCTCCGAGTCCCTCCCACCCGCACTCGTGCTTCCTTGAGTTTTTGTGCCTCTTGCTCCGCTAGAGTACCACCCCTTACACCTTCCTTCTTTCCCCAGACAGTCTTCTCTTCCCGTTTTTTTTCTTTTCCCTTTTAGGAGAAAAAACAACTGTCTCCAGGCCCAGCCTCTTATCTCCTCTCCTGCCCTCCCCTCAAGTCGACCTTTTTCCCAGCTGTAATCTGGCTTCAGATCTTTGATAGTGTGCCTTGGTAAATCTGCTGTCAGTTGACAACCTTTATATCACATTGACTTTGAAAGCAGTGGGGTTTCCAGAGCATCCCAGCATCCTCTGATCCCCTCGTAAATGAGGTTTCCATGCGATGGGCTTGTGGTTTTTTTTTTTCCTACCCTGACCTCCCATCAACCAGAAGAGTTCTCTGTCGCTTCCCAGACACAACGTGTCCTTTTCCTTGAGGGAGGGGTCTCGCCTATCTTCCCTTGCATCTCCTATCCCCAGCAATTCCTGAGCTCAATCTCTATCCCAGATTTGCCCCAGGGTTCCAAACTCAGTGCCTTGGAAGTTTCACAGGTACAGGTTCAATGTAACTCATTTATTTAGTAAATAAGCATAGGGGACTGGGGGTGTTGTTCAGCAGTATATCACTTGCCTCGCATGTTCTGGGCTCTGAGCTCCATCCTCAGTGCTTACAATTAAAGCTGTGTTTCTATTTATAATTATATATCTAAGTAACGTAGTTATGATGCATGTTAGTTGCTTTGGCCTCTTGTAACCAGCACAGTGGGTAGTAATACATGATAAAGAATGCTTGGGAGCTGAGCTGGGTGTGGTGGCCTCTGGGAGGCAGAGGCAGTCACATGTCTGAGTTTTAAGGCAAGCCTGTTCTACATAGTGAATTCTAGGCCAACCAGGGTTGTATAGTAAGACCCTGCCTCAAAAGGAATGCTTGCGGCTAGAGTTGCACCCAGTGTATAATACTTGTGTAACATACACAAGGTTCTGGGTTGGTCCCTAACACCCAAAAATAAATATGTAGATAAATAAATAAAATCAGCATAATGTTTGGCTGAAAGTGTTTAGTTAGTTCCCTCTGGTTGTTTATTTGTTTGTTTATTAATTTATGGTTTTTTGAGACAAGGCTTCTCTGTGTAACAGCTCCTGGAACTCCCTCTGTAGACCAGGCTGGCCTCAAACTCACAGAGATCCGCCTGCCTCTGCCTCCCGAGTGCTGGGATTAAAGGCGTGCGCCACTGCAGCCTGACTGGTTGTTTTTCTGTTTTTGTTTTGTTTTTTGTTTTTTTTTATGCTAAAAGAGCCTGGGAATGCAGTCTCTAGAGCCTATGTATATATATATGTGAATATCTGTACACATATATGGGAGAAAGGTTTCATCCCTCAGACCAACTTTTCTATGGCAGAGGTACAAACTGTCCATTACCCCACCCCTTTTGCAAACAGCACAAAAGTGATTCGTCTTCTCTAATATTTCGTTGCCCAGGTGGAACTCTGCTGTGCCAGCTCAGCTAAGCGGTGCAGCCTCTAGGTGGTCAGCAGAGGCTGGAGCAGGTCTGTTAGCTCAGGCCCGGAAGCTGCTGTCACCAGATCAGGAGATTCGAACTCTGGTTGGGTAATCTTGGGCAGGCTATCTGACTTCTCTGAACCATCACTTCCACATGCCCATTGGGCAGTGAGTGGACTGTCCCTCACTGGGATGTGGTAAGGATTCTCAGTAGATCTGAGTCACCCAAAGGCACTACTACTCAGCTTTAAAAACAAAACATATATTTAAGTTGGGGAGTGGGGGCACGTGCACCAGTATGCATGTGGCGGTCAGAGGACAGCTTTCTCTTCTGTGCTTCTACCATGGGTTCCAGAGTTTGAATTCAGGCCATCAGGTTTGGTGGCAAGCACCTTTACCTGCAAGGCCAGCTCTGTAGGTCCTACTTAGCTTTCATTTTGGCTGAAAGACAGAGGGGAGTGGTTTTCATGATGCACTGTCCCTCCATGTGACTTAGCAAGGGAATTACATAGAGAAGGTCCCATCCAGGATCGCCTAGCTGGACTCTAGAGTTCTTCTTGGAGTCCTGCTCTACTTAAACCTACTCTCCCCTTTGTACCGGGCAGCTTCAGGGGAATCTTTCCAAACATACCCGTGATCATGACGTTTGCTCCTGAAAACCCTCTGTGCCTCACCAGAGACTCAAGCCCTCACCAAGGCCCGTGAGGGCTGTCAGCACCCCTCTGCCAGCCCTGGTTTCCTCTCTAGCCTTTGGTTCTTCCATCTCCTGGAAGCTGTCTCAGCGTTTGTATTTACTGTTCCCACTGTTGGAGGAGACGCTTTCCCCTACCCATGGCGATGGCAGAGATACAGGAAGGTCTCTGAGGTCGGGGAATTGAAGGACTGAAGGAGGAGTACGTTTGGAGAAGCCATAGAGAGGAAGAGAGTATTCTAGACAAAGGGAACAACCCTGTGCTGGGTTGGAGGGCCCATGCAGGGGATTGGGACTGTGGAGGGATAGACTGAAATCTGTGTGCAGGAGGCACACCCTGCAGGCCTGGGTTGTCTTAGGGAGCCTAGACCCAATCCTGAAGTCATTGGAGGGCTTTGAATAGAAGCAATTACTTAGCCATTCCCCTGAGCGTGGATTAGCAACTTCTTTCTAAAGAAAACTGTCCTCTAGGGGAGCAGGAGAGAGGGCTCAGTGGTTAAGAGCATTTGCTGCTCTTGCAGAGGACCAGGGTTTGATTCCCAGCACCTATGTGTTGGCTCACAACCATCTGTGACTAGGTGATCCGATGATCTTATCTGACTTCTGCAGAGTGTGAAGACATACATGCAGCATAACTTCCATACACATGAAATAAAATAAATAAGTCTAAAAAAAAAAGACAGAAATCTGCCTTCCAAGAATATCCTGATAGCCACCAACTGGAGAAGAAATTGCTTCATAGGTTCTCAACTCAAACCTCTGCTGAACCAGGCCAAAATAAGATGCTGCACTCCCTGTGACCACCAGGAGGTGGCACCAATATCTCAGTATGTCCCCCTGGACTCTGCTCTGATTTATTGCCTTCATACGCCAGAGACCAGAGAAGAAAAAGAAGGGATAAGAAAAGGGCCAGAACGTGAGTAGGAGAGAGGCTGGGGATGGTTTCGGTGCAGAGCACAGGATGGTGGGACTAGAGTGGCGCTGGATCAGCTTTTGCTTTTGTTTTCTTGAGGGCCTAGCAAAGTGTGTTGGCATCTGTTTTCACTGTCGACTGCCCTGCCATCTGTCCACAGGCCCCGGAAACACTCACCCTGTCTGTGGGTGCTGAGCACGTGCTGCAGCCCTGAGCTGCCTGCAGCCCCATCTATGAAAGTTTTAACCCTCTCCTACTCCCCTCCACCGCTCTCCCTATCAGCAAGTTCCTCTTCCTCCTCCTCCTCTTCCTCCTTCTTTCTCCTCTTCCTCTTTCTTTTTCTTTGAGACAGGGTCTATGTAGCCCTGGATGGCCTGGAACTCACTGTGTAGACCAGGCTGTCCTCCCTCACACTCACAGAGATACTCCTGCCTCTGCCTCAAGAGTGCTGGGAGTAAAAGCTCCCTTTTGGCAATTTCTTTCTGCTTGACCTGGAAACCCTGGTCCTAGCTGGAGCCTTGGAATGCAGGGAGGGGGATGTCCTGAGAGGTCAGGGGATGGGAGTGGGGGTGAGTTGTGGCTGTATAAACACTCTTTTGTCCCCAGAGGAAGGTGTGTTCCAGTTCGCAGCTGTGTCTCTAACCGAACACTACAGCCACCTTACCTGACTCTCCATATCCCTGTGACGCTGGCTCTCTGGTCTCTTCACTGGCCTGATATGAAACAGGAATCTCCGAGGCTCTACACAGTCGGATTCATCTGGCACCATGTTCTCCTTTACTCTGCGTGTGTCTGTCCACATAAGTGGCCTGGAGTTCCTTAGAGGTCCCCTGTGCCTGCCTGCCTCGTTCCAGGCCTTTCTGGAGCCTGTTCCCTCTCCTTGGAATGTTCTCCCTCCCACTCACTCTGATAGGATTCTCTCCTGGAGCCCTTTCCTGACCCTCACCAGGATCAGCCCTGGCAGGATTGTCAACAGTTGACCTTCAGAGCTCCCTGTGTTATCCGAGTCAGCATTTTCTTGGGTGTTTGTTTAACCGGAAACTCCTGGAGGGCAGGGGCCAGGCCTACCTGTCTTCAGTGCTGTGGGGCCGGGGCCAGGCTACCTTCCCTTGGTGTTGAGTCACTGAAAGGATACCTGGCAGATAGGTGCTCAGAGCATTTGGTTCGCTTGCTCCAGACCCCACACCTTCCTCTGTCTGTTCAGCTCTCCACTCTTCCGGATGTGTACTGAGGTCACCCCCTCCCAGAGGCATCCATGACTGAGCTTTGGTTTCTTCCCGTCCTTTCCTTTCCTTTTGTTTGGTTTTGATTTAGAGATGTACCTGGAACTCACTTTGTAGTCTAGGTTACCCTCCAGCTCACAGTGATCATCCAGTCTCAGCCTCCTAACTACTGGGAATATAGGCATAAGCCACCATACCCAGCCGCCAGGTTTTTCTGTTTTGGTGTTTTTAGACAGGATCCTAATTTTTGTAATTATTATTTAAACTTTTCGTTACACTTTACATATGTATTTGTGTATGTCTGTCTGTGTATATGGAAGCTAGAGGACATTTTCCGGGAGTTGGTGCTCTCCTTCCACCACGTGGGTCTGAGAATTGAACTCAGGTTATAAGGCTAGCTCACAATACCTTTATCTGGTAGATCGACTCCCTGACCTGCGTCAGGCCTTACGGAGTGGAATCTGATCTGATTCCTCTGGCTTCAGCTTCTCAAGGGTTAGCTTTAGAAGCATGAGCCACCGCGCTGTCCTGCTCCCCCATCCACCATTTTTTTTTTTTTTTTTTTTTTGTTGTCGGAACTGAGGACCGAACCCAGGGCCTTGCACTTGCTAGGCAAGCGCTCTACCACTGAGCTAAATCCCCAAACCGCCCCCCCCATCCACCTTTTTACTTGTTGTTATCGTGTGTGTGTGTGTGTGTGTGTGTGTGTGTGTGTGTGTGTGTGTGTGTGTTTTGATTGTTTTAGGTTTTTGTTTGTTTGTTTTGGGTTTTGTTTTTTTGAGACAGGGTTTCCCTGTGTATCCTGGAACTCACTGTTAGACCAGGCTGGCCTCGAACTCAGATCTGCCTGCCCCTGCCTCCCCAGTGCTGGGATCAAAGGTGTGTGTGAGTCACCACTGTCCAACATGTTTTTAGTTTTTTGGATAGGGTCTTCCTCCATCTTCTGGAACTCACAGCAACCTGTCTGCTTTTGCCTCCCGAGTGTGGGGGTTACGGGCATGAGGCACTTTTGTTTTGTTTTTGAGACAGGGTCTCACTTTGCAGGTCTCACTCCTGAATGTCCTGGAACACAATATGTAGACCAAGCAATCTACGAACTCCCAACAATCCACTTGCTTCTACTTCTCAAGTACTGGGATTAAAGGCATGCACCACCTTGCCTGTCTATGCCTGGCTTTAAAAACAATAATATCTGGCTGGGTGAGGTGGTACATGCCTTTAATCCCAGCACTCAGGAGGCACAGGCAGGCAGATCTCTATGAGTTCAAGGCCAGCCTTGATATATATGTATATATATTTTTTTTTTTTTGGAGCCGAGGATTGAACCCAGGGCCTTGTGCTTGCTAGGCAAGCGCTCTACCACTGAGCTAAATCTCCAACCTTTTTTATTTTATTAAAGATTTGTAAAATTAAAAAAAAATATGTGTATGTGGGGGACAGAGGTTGTGTGCACACAAGTGTTGGTGCCCACAGAGGTCAGAGTGGCAGACTCCCCTGGAGCTGGAGTTACAGGCAATTGCCAGCTACCTGATGTGGTAGTGGGAATTAAACTCAGGTCCTCAGCAAGGGCATGCTCTTAATGCTGAGCCATCTCTCCAGCTGTTTCTGGTTTTTGAGACAGGGTCTCGTGGTCTAGTTGGGCAATGAGTTTGCTGAGTAGAGCATTCAGAACTCCTGACCCTTCTGCTCCCACCTCCCAAGTGCTGCCCTTACAAGTGTGCACCACCAAGCTAGGGGCTGGGGACGGGAGTCAGAACCCCCTTAAACACAAGCTCTACCACCGTCAGACCTCCAGCCTCCCACTGTAGAGGTTTGAGGTTCTTGTGAACAAGGCAAACCTCCAGCTTCTCAGAGGTCACCTTCTAGCAAGGTCGCCACTAGTAAAGACAGAACAAATAAACTGGGACTAACTGGAGATTAACTGGAGAGGACTTCAGCCTTAGGAGGGGACCTTTGTTCCGGGAGCCAGCCCGAAACCTTGAGGCATAGTGTGGTAGGCAGTGAGGCCTGCCCGTGCGGAGGCCCCGAGGTGAAAGGAGCTTAGAGTGATGGAAAAACAGGAAGGAGGCCGTGGGGGTTGGAGACCAGGCGGGAAGGGTAGCAGTGAGTGACGAGGGACCAGCGCAGGCTGCATCCAGTGAGCTTTGCTTTTCTAGTGGGTATGCAGAGCCAATAGGAGGCAGCTGGGCCTTAGAATGTGCCTTACTCTGTTGTGTGCTAGGTCTAAAATTTCTGAGGCTGGTTTTGGAATGTGCTGGGTTTGGGGCTGTGTGGATTTGCCTATGGGAATCAGAGGACGACTCATGAGTATCAGCTCTCCTTCACTGTGCCTGTTTCAGGACTTGTACCCGGGTCATCAAACTCGACAGTAAGCACCCTTGCCTTCCCAACCACCTCACCAGCTCTGTTTGGTTTTCCTTAATATTTTTTTTATTATATTCTTAAAGATATATTTGTTTTATTTAAAATTTTAAAGATTTAATTTTATTTCATGTGTGTGACTATTTGACTGCATGTATTTACATGTATGTATGTGTACCACATGTATGTCTGGTGCTCATGGAGGCCAGAAGAGGGTGTTAGATTCCTGGAACAGGAATTACAGATGGCTGTGAGCTTCCATGTGGGTGCTGGGAACCCATCTGTGTTCTTTGCAAGAGCAACAAATACTTTTAATTGCTGAGCCATCTCTGGCTCCCTAAGGATTTATTTTTTAGTGTGTGTGTGTGTGTGTGTGTGTGTCTGTGTGTGATCTGTGTTTGTGCATGTGCAGATGAGTACTCAAGAAGGCCAGAGGAGGGGTTGGACCCCTTGGAGCGAAAGTTACCGGTGGCTGTCAGCTGCCTGATATGAGTGCTTGGAACCAAACTCAGTCCTTCAGAAGAACAACAAGCTCTTTCAATTGCAACATAGGGAGTTTAAAGCCACCTGAGCTGCAGACCCTGTGTCTTAATTACTGTTCCATGACAGCTAGGGCTACACAGAGAAACCCTGTCTGGAAGAACAAACAAGCAAAAAATGATACAGGTTGGTGGCACAGGCTTTTAATCCCAACACTCAGGAGGCAGAGGCAGGCAGATTCTGTGAGTTTGAGACCAGCCGTGTTTACACAGTAAGTTCCAGGCCAACTGTGGCTATATAAAGACAATCTGTCTCAAAAAACAACCAACCAACCAAGTGGTGGTGGCGGCGGCGCACGCCTTTAATCCCAGCGCTCAGGAGGCAGAGGCAGGCAGATCTCTGAGTTTGAGGTCAGCCTGGACTACAGAGTGAGTTGCAGGACAGTCAGGGCTACATGGAGAAACCCTTGTAGATGTAACCGACCGTCTTATTAAATAAGAAACACAGAACCAATGCAAAGAAATAAGCCAAGAGATCAGAGCTAAGAGCCTTACCTGCCTGCTACAGCTAGCCTCTTAAGCCAAGAGACCTCTCCGAAAAGAGCTACTTTCTGTGAGTTTGTCTTTATATAGACTTTCTGTTCTGCCTTCTCATTGGTTGTAAACCCAACCACGTGACTGCCTCGTCACTGCCTGTCTGTACAGACCTCCAGACACACATTGGAGCGTGTGTCTCCAATGTTGGCTGTATCCTTGAACACACAGAGATCTACCTAGCTCTGCCTACCAAGTGCTGGGATTAAAGGTGTGCACCACGAACGCCCAGCTCTGCTATGGCTTGCTATTAGCTCTGACCCCCAGGCAACTTTATTTATTAACATACAAATAAAATCACATTTCAGTACGAATAAAATATCACCATAAACCCTGTCTTGGAAAACCAACAAACAAAACAAACAACAACAACAATAAAAAAAGAAAGAGGCTGGTTTACAGTTTCAGAGGGTTAGTCCACGATCATTGTGGTGGGAAGCAGGCAGGCAGGCAGACAGGCAGGCAGGCAGGCAGGCAGACAGGCAGGCAGGCAGGCAGGCAGACAGGCAGGCAGGCAGGCAGGCAGGCAGGCAGACAGGCAGGCAGGCAGGCAGGCAGGCAGACAGGCAGGCAGGCAGGCAGGCAGGCAGGCAGGCAGGCAGACAGGCAGACAGGCAGGCAGGCAGGCAGGCAGGCAGACAGGCAGGCAGGCAGGCAGACAGGCAGGCAGACAGGCAGGCAGACAGGCAGGCAGGCAGGCAGGCAGGCAGACAGGCAGGCAGGCAGGCAGGCAGGCAGGCAGACAGGCAGGCAGGCAGGCAGGCAGGCAGGCAGACAGGCAGGCAGGCAGGCAGACAGGCAGGCAGGCAGACAGGCAGACAGGCAGGCAGGCAGGCAGACAGGCAGGCAGGCAGGCAGGCAGGCAGACAGGCAGACAGGCAGGCAGGCAGGCAGGCAGGCAGGCAGGCAGGCAGGCAGACAGGCAGGCAGACAGGCAGACAGACAGACAGGCAGGCAGGCAGACAGACAGGCAGACAGGCAGACAGACAGACAGGCAGGCAGGCAGACAGACAGACAGACAGGCAGGCAGACAGGCAGACAGACAGACAGGCAGGCAGGCAGGCAGGCAGGCAGACAGGCAGGCAGGCAGGCAGGCAGGCAGGCAGACAGGCAGACAGGCAGGCAGACAGGCAGGCAGGCAGACAGGCAGGCAGGCAGACAGGCAGGCAGGCAGGCAGGCAGGCAGACAGGCAGGCAGGCAGGCAGGCAGACAGGCAGACAGGCAGGCAGGCAGGCAGGCAGGCAGGCATGGTGCTGCAGCAGTAGCTGGAGCTTTACTTCCTGATTTGCAGGTAGCAGTCCAGACAGCCAGACAGCCAGACAGACACTGGGCCTGGCAT